GTCTCCATCATGTAGGTGGGTCCATTGTGAGACATAGATCCTACACGAGACATGCCTCAATATTAATTTATTTAGACAGCAGTGGTTTCCTTCGCGTCGTCCTTTCATGAGCAGCATTCTTTCTCAGTGTGTTTCAGATTTTGGACATATGAACAGAGACTTTCACAGTCTGAGAGTTTTCTGGAGGTCTCTAGCTGTTATTCTGGGTTTCCCCGTCACCTCGTTCAGAAATGCCTGTTGTGATCTTTGCTGGATACCCGCTGCGAGGGAGAGTAAAAACAGCCCAGCATTTCTACATTTGTAGACAGGATACCTCACCCAGGACTGATGTGAACACTCAGGTCTTTAGCGATGCTCTTGTAGCCTTTTACAGCTCTGTGCATCTCTGTAATGTTGAACACAGCCAGAGCCTAAGGATTTAGACCTTTTTATGTGATGGAAATACAAATAATAGAGTTGTCTGTGGTTTCAGAATTTACAGTGTTGACTCTTGTTCTTCATAAGCTCTGGCATGCTGGATATCAGCTTCTGAGCCAAATCCTGACTGATGGTGATCCATTCTTGCCTTATTAGTTCTCGGAGTTGATCACAATCTGTGGGCTTCTGCTTGTCCACTCGCCTTTTGAGGACTGACCACAGGTTCTCTGTGGGATTGAGATCCGGGGAGTTGCCTGGCCACGGATCCAAAATCTCAATGTAATGATCTTCGAGCCACTTCTTTATCACTCTGGCTTTGTGACGTGGTGCTCCATCATGCTGGAAAATGCACCAAATTGCTCATGGACCCTAGGTTGAAACACAGTAAATCAGTGCAGACAACATCCCTGCCATTAAGATTTGACCACAAGCGGTCACTGACCTGAAACTTTTTGAGTACTTTCAGGGTATGGAGCTGATGACACATACCAAGCTTTGGAACAATACACCAATGTGTTCTTAAAATACAAAATTGGATATCGTTTGACCCGGTATTATAAGCGAAAATAGACTTGTTTTACATCTCCAGACCACTAGCTGGAGTTATAGAGACTCCAAATTTGCTGTGATTAAAGTTCAGACTGTCCTCTATCAAATTTCATTAATTTCCCACAAGCGGTTCGATGGTGTGGCATAGACTCAAGAGCGAAAGAATAAGAAGAACGGATACAATAAACACATACAATAGTTGCCTGAGCGCAGGGGCGGACTGGGATAAAAATTCAGCCCTGGCACTGTAGCCACACCAGCCCACATTACCACACCGACACAGCCCCACCCACGGACACACACATTCACTACTTACATTTCTGTACAGATGGTGAAATGATATAAGCAGTACCATATATTGGAATACACATGAATACAAACAAGTAATAATAGCAAAAAAGGAAATAGAATATATTGCAAAAAACTATAAATAGTAGCAGCAGTAAATCCTTTTTGATATATAATTATCTGTGAATTAAAGTATGCTGAAGTGTTTCTAGTATGTGCTGCATGTGCATTTGTGTGTGTGTGTGTGTGTGTGATCTCTCTCTCTCTGTGTCTCTCTGTGTGTGTGTGTGATCTCTCTCTCTCCGTGTCTCTGTGTGTGTGTGTGTGTGACACACAGGCACAGGTTCCTCCTATCCTAAGAGTTAATTAATAGTTCATTAGAGCCACATTATTAAGAAACTAGCAGCATCTGTGTCAGGGTGTGTCTCTCTCATTGTGTCTACCTCCATGACACTTGACTGCAGTCCACCCTACCTAAGGATTAATTGCATTCTGTAAACGTATGTACTGTATGTGTGCTCAATGTTTTTTTTTAATATATGACTATCTACATATTCAAGGTAAAGTTCACTATAAATGTCTATAGTACTATGGCTATTGCTATAGGTTTTTGATGTGTTAGACTATATTGCAAGTAGCCTACATCAGTTTTTACCCTAAATCCCACTTTATCTGCTGATATTTCAGTCATGCAATTCAGTAACAGGCTCATTAACACTTAAGTTAACCAATTATCACAAAGCAATGACATTTTAAAATATACTGGGGTTCTACGCTAAGCTTACAACTGTTTAATACAATGTAGGCTTCTGTCAAAAAAAACACGAGCTAACTGGCAGAAGTAGTGTGAAAATGACTTGTGCTAGCTGTATTTTCTGTTTTCTTCTTACCTCTGCGGCACTAACTGTTCT